AAAAAAAAAAAAAAGAAGCCAGTTTCTAATATAAAACAATATTGAAGAGTTTTCCATTGTATTTCATTCGGAGGAAGATGCCATTCATGGAAGTGAAACTGAATTAGTCACCCAGATGTTCTGTGCGTCTCAAAACACAGGTATGAAAGCCATGAAGCCCAAAGAGCCAATGAACTGAATGTTTATTCTCTCCTTAAATTCCGGTGCCATGCCGACAAACCTCCGGTAGTTAACCTGGTAAAGAGAACTCATTTCTTGAGTTACCACATCCAGTCATCGCCATCCAAGTAATCACAGCACAGAGGTCAGCTACGCAGCACTCGGTGGCCAGGAGGACACAAAGACAACCAAATATTCCAGCCGGCACGGTTCACAGCTTCACAAAAGTTCTAGACACTTCTTACCATCTTCTGAGCAGAGACCCTGCCTCTTATCAGGACCTTCTGGTGTAGTTCTCCTTGCTATTAGTAGTACCTGCTGAGTGACCCTTGGAAACATTCTTGAACTATCTGGGTTTCTTTCTCGGTAAAACGAAGAGGATGACCTAAAAAGATCTTCGTGGGCCTTTCAACTTCAAAACTCTGACTTAATTTTCAAATCCACTTTTCTGGCATCAGACATCTGATCTAGAAGCTGTTTTCTCTATTTGTCGACAACAATAGTAACTCAACCTGTTTTTTTTCCCCTTTCAAAAGGTTTATGAAACCACAGCCTAACCAATCCACTGGATGGGTACACAAAGATCTCAGCTTGCTGGGTGAGTCTTTTTCTAAAAACAAAGTGCTGGCAATCTGGGTATATGCTACACTCACAGTGGCTATGTTCAAACTTGACCTTCACTCACAACAAAGGGTGCTGGCAGATTCTGACAGTCCCTGTCTCTATATGAAGGAGGCCTTGAGAAATTATAGTTTTACACCACACCAAAAATCTACACCCATGCAGAACACTGGAACAGGGCTGGTTTGAAATGCGCTTCAGTTTCACCCAATTATGGGCTGAACAGACACAAAAAAAGTATATATAATTATGCCCATCCTGGCTAATTACATACTCTTGTACTAATTTTCAGATAAAAATATACAATTAATTTCTCATAAATGTAAGTTGCTGAATGTTCGACATCTCACTTTTGGGCACCAGGCTGTCAACAATATTTTTAATTTAAAAAATGCATACAAAGGAAAGTGGATGATACAAATATTTCTCCTAAAATAATGATTTATAATGTACTTTTAATTTTGTGAATTTTTAAATCTTCAAAACAACTGACCAGTTCTTTATAGCTTTTTAAAAAAAAATTTTGCCCAGACAGCATAACAGGACCTTTTCTTTAAGTGTATTTCTTTCTTGCCAAGCTTTTTACTTTAAAATAGTTCAAATTTATAGAAAATTCGAAGTGTAGCACACTTAGCTGTAATCAGACTGATTCCAAATTTCTATTTCCAAACTTTCATGCTCTTAAGAGTTAAAGAGCATATAACTTTGCAGATATGTAAATGAGACATACTTCTGGTGCGTTCACAAAAGTACTTCTGTATTAGTTATTTGTGTATTAGAAACTAATCCTAGGTATCTTAATACCAGAACAAGGAAGGGAATGGATGCCATTAAAAAAAGAAAATTCTTTCATGCCAGTGTGAGGCAATGTCTTAAGCCAATGGTCAACCATGAGACAGTCTCATATCTTTAGAAATTGCCTGGGAGAAGAACAACTTATTTTCAACAAATCATACCGGATGTATTCTTACGGAAAACCGTTTCAAACAATAATACAATTTTAACTGCAGATACAAAAAGGGGGACAAATGTATTTACATCAGCCCCTGAGTCACTCTGTGCCCGAGACAATAAAGTCAAGATGCCCCTCGACCAAGCTGAGGAACCTGAGGAGGCAAAAGTCCTTCGAGACCACCCCCCAAGCTTGCGAGTGGCCCCCCACGGCGTCCGCCCGAGCGCGGACAGCAGTGAAACCGGGACCTCAGCCCAGGTGGGCGGGCGGCCGCAGAAGCCGCCGCGGGGCCTGGCCCGGGCCTCCGGAGCTGACCAGGCCGGCCATCCCTCCGGGCCCCTGGGCCGCCCCAGCCACCCGACCCTCGGCCCCTCGGATTCGGCCGGCGGGACGGCACCTGGCGTCACGGCGCAGGTCGCACTTCCCGGGCCGACCCCCGGGAACCAAACGTGGCCCGGGGAGGGAGGTCCCCTCCCCCCCCGAGGCCTCCCCCTCGCCTCGACGCTGACCAAGGGCAGACCGCAGCTGGGGCTCGCCGGGCGCAGCAGGCGGACCCCGGGCGCAGGCGTCCGCCGGCAGGTGTGCCCAGAGTCCCCGCAGCCCCGCCGGGTGCAGCCGCCCCTGCCGCTCGCCGTCGAGGGGGGCCGCCGGCCGGGGCGCGGTGCAGGATGGCTCACCTTGGGGCCCTCGGGTGGCACGCGCGGGTCGTTCCACGTCGTGGTGCGGCTGTTGTGGTCCACGAAAAAGGGCCAGCCGGTCTGCGGATCGATCTTGATTTCCCAGCCGGGGGGCAGGGGGTCACCGGCGCCGTTGCCGGACGCCATCTGCACCATGGGCGAGTGGGTGGCAGCACTCATGCTGGGTCGGGGTCTGCCCGGAGGGGCGGCCGCCGGGGTGCCGGGTCGCGGGGAGCCGAGTCGTGGGGTGCCGGGCCTCCAGGCGCCGAGTCGCTCGCTGGCCGCGGCCGGATCGAGAGCGGTGCGCGCCGCCGACGTGTCCGGGAAGCCGGCGCCGGGCACCTTTATGAATTAAAGGAGGGGGTGACGTGGCCCGAGAGGGGTGGAAGTGTCTGGAAAGAGCCTCCTCGCTGCCAACCGGGAAGGAGATAAAGGGAGGTAGCAACTGGCCGGCTAGAAACTTCTGGTCCTATCCAGAGAAGTTGGCGGCGAGCGGGCGGGATGCAGAGCTCCGCCCTGAGTCATCGGCTATAATCGGGGCGGGGCGGGGCGGGGCGGGGCCTGGGCGGGGCCTAGGCCGGCCGCCCCTCCCCCACTCCTTCCTTCCCTCCGCCGCCCAGCGGCCAAGGCTGGTGTTCCCGGGCGGAGACTGGTTGGCGGGGCTGGTAGCCGGCAGGGCGTCGTCGGGAGCGCTGGGCCGGTTTCGGTTTTCAGACTCCCTCCCTCTGCGTGGAGCCGAGGACTGGGACTGCGCGCAGGGTGCCTGCTGCCGCTCCTTCCTGTAAAAACAAAGTCACCGTGAGCATTGAAAGTCGTGAATTTTAAACTAGAGTCTCGCACGCCTCCCCCCCCCCCTTTGCTCCCTTATACACTGATAACTTGGGGACACTGGCGTCCTTCCAGTACGTTTTAATCACTTTTTCTCAAGGGCGTGAGAAGCTCCGGAATGTTGATCTGACACCATAACAAAGCCGGGGAGAAAAGGCAAATACAAATAGAAATTCACCTGCCTTCTTCGGAAGCCTAAAGAAAAGATTGCGTCAGCCGTGCTTTTCTGCATCTCAAATATTCAAACTATCATTGCATTGAACGACTCTAAAGACAAATCACATTCTTTTGGGTTTGGATCTTTTTTATGGTAGAGATGGTTTCTTGGCATCTTAAATCTTGACCTTCATTTGGAGGTGGGGCCAAGTCCAACCATGAAAAATTCTTTGGTTGATTCAGTGGTGGTTGTGCTTGTAACCTAAACCAAGCAGTTCCCAAGAAGAGCGTGTGCCCACAGAGGGAGAATTCGGAGGAGGTTCCATTTCAGATTCTTAGGCAGGCCGACTCACTCCCTTCCCCTGAAATATTCTGGAAAGTTGCTTTCATTAAAAAGAAAACCACAGGTCCAAAATGGTGTTACTTGGGCCAGGCCAAGTCACCAAACCAGGGTTTAATACCTAACCTAATTTCAGTTTCCACCTCCCCCAGAAATGTGTCTAAACCCGTCAATCAGGAATTTTCTGATAAGCACAAAGAGGTAATCTGTTGCCTGAGCCTTCTCTATCCCCCAAAGGAAGATGAGGTTATTTGCAAAGTAAGAACCCCTGCCCTTCCTCATAACGGAAGATGATCTTGCCTGAAACAATCCTTTTTTTCTTCTTTTTCTTCCTCCTCCTCCTTTGTTGCCCCACCCTCCTTCTTATAAAAACCTTCCATTTTGTACAACTTTTCAGAGCATCTATTTGCTAGATGGGATGTTGCTTGGTTCATGAATCTTTTAATAAAGCCAATTAGATCTCCAATTTACTCGGTTGAGTTTTGTTTTTTAACACTTGGGACTAATATTGGACCTAATTTTTCAACTCAAATTCAGAGACTATCCTGGAACCTTTCTTCCTGGCTCAAGTCACTCCTTTTGAAACAAATGCGAGAATGGCTTCCTGATCATTCATTTCCAGTGGAATGTTTCTTATTTGCATGGGTCTGCTTGTCAGCTCTGAAACCCAAAAACTCAGTTTTGTGAAAATGCACAGGTGAGTAAGCACACATGAGACTAATAGATAATCCAAATGCCAGTGTACCAATTTACCATTAGAAATATTCCTACTGAAGGAGCTGGACCAGTGTCTAGTTTACTCTCCTATTTGAAACTCTTAGCACAGGGCTGGGCTCAGAGTTCATATTCAATAAATATTGAAATTTATTGAAGGTTGAATGCAAAGCAAATATGTATCTCTTTCCTTTGCTCAGTTTGCTTTCCACCACAACTACAGCTTAAACCCTGAGAGCATTCTTTACTGGCTTTCTTTTTTTTTTTTTTTTTTTTTTTTTTTTAATCCTAGGCAGAAGCAGAAGAGGAAACAGTTTTCTCTGGGATTAATTTAGCTGTTTCTGAGACTTGTACTCCATGAGGGGCTTTGAGTGGGTTTGCCTAAAATGGAGCCGTAAGTCTTGGAGAGCTGGTTGAAAGCAGCTCCTTTGAGCTATTCCAAATAACAGGGAGCTTGTCTGTCTGTGGTGGCCTTTTAATTTTTTTTTGTTTCTCTGGGACATTTTCTTTCTCAGGACATGAGTTCCCGGGTGCTATGGACTGAATGTTTGTGTCCTCCCAAATCTGTATGTTGAAACTTATTCCCCTATGTGATGCTATTTGGAGGTGGGTGTTTGGGAAGTGATTAGGTCATGAGGGTAGAACCCTCATGGATGGGGTTCCTACCCTTATAAAAAGGATCCCAGGGAGCTCCCTGCCTATTCTACCAGCACAAAAGGACCCACCAAGAAGGTGGCTATCTGTGAACCAGGAAGCAGGCTCTCATCGGACACCAGCTCTACTGGTGCCTTGACCTTGGACTTCCCAGCCACCAGAACAGTGAGAAATAAATTCTTGTTTATAGGCTACCCCGTCTCTGGTATTCTATGATAGCCGCCTGAATGGATGAAGACACCAGGCCTTCGGGAATCTGCCCAGATCAGAAGCTTAAGCATGACCCTGGGTTCCTCTTTCTCTCTTACCACCCAGCATTGCCAAGCTTAAGGATTCTGCTGCCTCAGCATTCCTTGATTGTGTGCATTTGTTCTTTGGTACCGCCAGCAAGGCCCAGGTCACCCTAATCTCTTCTGTAGACCCAGGCAGTGGCCTCTAATTTTGTCCATGTCCAATTCCTTGCCCACGTGGCAGCCAGAGTGACCTTGTTCAAGTGCAAATGTACCATGTCCTTTCTCTGATTAGGATGATCGCATGGCTCCCATTGCCCTCTCTATACTCAAGTCCACACTCCTTGGCCTGGTGGACCCAAAACCCAGTCTCCCCATTCCCTGGTGCACACTCCGCGCTCGCCCTGGTGAGCCATATCACACGCACACTTCTCTCGTCTGCACACACTGCTCCTTCCATCTTTTTCGCCACCCCCAGCACCTGTAACTCCCTTTGCCTGGGTAACTCCTCTTCTCTCCAGGTATCCCCTTTGACTCACACTCCTTCACCCTCCTCGTCCGGGTCACATGTCCCAGAGTACATGTACGTGCTCTGTACCACCTGATCCCGTGAACCGCCCTGCGATTGCTTGTTTGATGGTCTAGTTTGCTTATGGATTGAGTTTCTTGAGGGCAGGTGCAGAATCTTGATAGCTGCCGTGTCCCAGCCTCTGGCACAGTGCCTGGCAAATAACAGTAACAAAAACAGCAGTAATGGTAATGGCTGCCATCTGCTAGGAATTTACTGCAGGCTAGTTATTGTGTGATGGGCTTTATGCCGATTAGCTCATCTTTGTTGGGGAGGCTGTGATCCCCTTTCGGGAATGAAGAACTTATTCCCGCAGATGCTGGGAACACTACAGGAAGATCAGTCTCTTTTGTCCTTGGGGCCTGGCTTTGCTGAGGAAGACCGCCTCACGTAAGATCATGTGCGGGAGCACCCTTCATCCAGGGCTTGATCTATGGAGGGGCACAAGGGCCCTGCCTTTTGGTCCAACTCAGGGTAGGGATAATGAGCTCTCCCCTTTGTGGAGAGCTCTCTGGGGTGGCTGCTGCTTTCCTTGGGACTGCCTCAGGGCTCAGCTTCTCTCCCCGCCCCCTCTTGCTTCCTGCTCTCCCTTTCACTGGTATCCCTTTTAAAAGGATTCCCTCGGGTGGCTCAGTGATTTAAAGCCTGCTTGGGTCATGATCCTGGGGTCCTAGGATCGAGCCCCGCGTCGGGCTCTCTGCTTGGTAGGGAGCCTGCTTCCCTTCCTCTCTCTCTGCCTGCTTGTGACCTGTCAAATAAACAAATTAAAAAAATCTTAAAAAAAAAAAAAAAAAAGAACCCCCACCCCCAACAAACCCACCCCGCTCCTTCCTCTGTCTCACATTCTCCTTCCCGAACCCCAACCAAGACCAATCCTCCAGCCACCCCCTGGGGGGGGATTTCTTCGAAACCCCCCCCCCCTTTACAGATAAGCAATTAAGGTTTGGAAATGCTACCTACCTGCTCAGTGTCACAGAGCTCATGATCTGTGCAGGTGGCATTCGGATGTAGGGGACTGATTCCAGAGCCCATGCTGTTAGCCAGCCCGTGCCTGGTTAATGGCTTCGTCCCCCTAGTCACCAAGGAAAAATTTTAGAAGGCTACAATTCAGGAACAAAGTTTTGTGCACATAATTTGTCTCAAGGCTGAGGAAACAGGAGCAGCTCCAGGCTGTTATGGCCCATCATGTCAGGCCCCCTGATGTGGGGATGTGCCCGGCTGACTCACAGCACAGGTCACAGACTGTGGACTCTTGCCCAGCTCTGATGGCGAGTTCCAAATCCAAATGTCACCCAGAAGATTTCGGTGTCTGAAAAATCTAATCCATTTCTAATGGAACACATGAGCTGGCATAAGAGAACAGTCAATTCTCCCCAGTCCATGCAAAACGTTGGACATCCCAAGTCATTTTTGTTTGTCCCAGGGATGCTATCAGAGAACGACACATGCAACCATGCACAACTTTACCAGCCATCCCCTCCCAACATGACCCTTCCACTCTGGGCAGCCTCACCAGGAAACCAAGGCCACCTGGTTGGGAGTTCTTGCCTCTCCCCAATGTCCTGATGGTCCAGTGTGTCGGGGAAAAGAAGCCCCAGGCAGGAGTGTTAGAGCAGAGGGGGAATGGGAGATGTCTAGTTGTGCGATCAAGACCTCGATGATAAGCTCTAGAAATATACTCTGGTGGAGGGGGAGGGGAAAAAACCAAGACAGTTGGCCCTTAAACATCATGGGTTTGAACAGCATGGGTCCACGTATACATAGATTTTTTTCAATAGGCACAGTACGGTACTATGTATGTATTTTCTCTTCCTTATGATCTTCTGCACATTTTTCTTTTCTCTACCTTACTTTATTGTAAGACTACCACGTACAACACATGTAACACAGAATATGCATTAATGGACTGTGTA